ATGCGGATATTATGGAGCCTATTCGATCACTAGAAACCATGTAAATATCCATAGCGAGGCAGCAGGCTGTGATTAAATGGGTTTCATAAAAATAATAATAATAGCATGGGTCAAAAAAAAAAAAAAAAAATATATATATATATACAGTGTAGTAGGCTTCATTCATCTTACCGAGCTTTCTAAACTGATCAGAAAATGTCCTGTATCTAAAGAGGGTAATATGTCGGTCGATCTAAAGCAGTGGTTCCCAAATTGGGCGGCGGGAGGGTCGGGGGGGGGGGGGGGGGGGGCAAAAGTGGGCTTATGGGGGGGCGGTAGGATGGCTTCAAGAGCAGCATTTTTTTCTGTTTTTATGAAGCTGCTAAATTGGTTTTCGAAGTTTGGTTTTAATTACTGCATACATCTTTGAGTTTAATCTTGTTTCATTTTTAAGCATACATACAAAAAGAGTATGAGGGGCGTGTCGTTAGGGATCCATCTGGAAGCCAAGGGTAAGCCAGTCTAGAAAAATTGGGGAACCACTTATCTAAAGTAGATATTAACACGAAGTATATATCAAAAAATTCCTGGGCACACACCTTCAAGTTCTGATGTGGAACGCATCCCTGATATTTTGTATTTTTCCTAACATGTTAACCCAATGCCGCCGGGGAAAATGAACCAAAAATGGGGAAAATGCTGTGCCTATAATCTATATTTTTGTGAAATGTCTGCCCATAGATGGCTCTGCTAGCGCCTGATTTGAAGTGGCGGGAAAAACGTATTTTTCACTAGTGCTATGAAAATCGATGGTGTTATTTTTATTATAAACATTATAATTATTATAATGTTTGTTAACATTAGTAACAGCAAAATAAGATAACGTAAAATGTTTCGTAAATCAAAGAAACGGGTAAACGGGCGAGACGGGCGGTGCTCGTAACTGGCTCATTGGGGAGTTAGTACAAGTGTAGCCATCAGTGCGTAAAGACAATCCAACAAGTAACTCGCAGTGGGCGGAATGGAAGACTGGTAATGCTGATGAGTGCTGAAAATATCGCCCCTGAAAGCAAAGACAAATTTACCTACAGCTACATAACCGTTTGTATAAAAAAGGCTCCTCCATTGTGAATCACTTTTTAATATGAAGTAATTGTTTAAACCGATTTCTGCAAACATTTTAAGATGTACTAAAATCAAAGTCCCACTGTTGGTTGGAATTCCGGTCCCCTAACACAAAAATCAACGTTACTGCCTGACACTTTCACACACCCAAGCTTTTTTCTTACGACAGAAGCGAAGGTCGGTGAGCTCTATATATGCGACAAAGATAATCCGACACATGAGTTGCTGGAATAATAACGTATATCATACTACTCCTTCTGATCTCGGGGTTTTTGTTTCAGTAAAATAAATATATTCCCATTAACAACAAGGAAAAGAATGGAAAAAAGGTCGAGGCTTGACATTATTATATAAGTTACCCTAAAGCACTCGAGTTGTTACCGTTTTCTATATTTGGGTTTTATATGGGTTACTCCCCCAATCTTTTTCCTGTCTTCCCTCGGTCTCTCTGCCTTTGTTTTTCTTAGTCACTGCCTGCCTGCAAGGCCGCCGAGAGCTAGACCGGGCCCCGGGGCAACTAAAAGATGTGGGGCCCCGTTTTATTTTTTTTTAAATTTTCAAACAAGAGATTATAGGTTATTTCCAGTGGATTGTCATAAACGGAAACATTTTCAATGTTTAATGCTGAGAAGTTACAAAATGTTTGAAATGTATTCACTTAAATGTAAAAACTAAAATGTAAAATTTAAACTAAAAAGTTCAAATTAAAATGTATTCACTTTGCGAGCCTTTTTTTTAGTGCAAAGGCGTTAATTACATTACTCAAGTCAACCTTACGCGTTAGGTCGCTCTCTATCCCTAGAATAGCCAAGCTATTCAATCGGTCTTGTGTCATTGTGCTCCGTAAGAAGTTTTTGATGAGCTTGAGTTTGCTGAAAGGTCGCTCCGCTGAAGCAACGGTAACTGGCAACGTGCAAAATATCCTCAGGGCAATGCACACATTTGGGAATATCTCAGCAAGCTTGAACTTGTTGATTTTCTTCAAGAGGCTGAATGGGTTAATGATTCGTCTCCAAAGTTTGCGGCATGGATCGCTTTGAGATGTACCATTTCTTCTGTCAACTCATCTTGCGAGATATCATTTTTGTATTGCTTTGCCAGGGTAACACAGGCTTTGGAAATTTGCTGTTCTGTTAAGGCGAGATATCTCCAAAGAAAGCCAAACAAATAATCTATTTTGTGTGCTGCATCATACCGTGTTGAGAGGCCAGCAATAACGGAATCAAGAATGACATAGAAAACGTCTGCCTCTTCCTCAGCTGCACCGCCTTCTGGAAAAACCTTGTCTTGTGTCTCGTCAGAAAATGGTCTCCTTTTCTTTTTGCGTTTAGCTGGGAGAAAACAATCAATTTGCATTCCTTCTGCAACCAACTTCGCCTCGTTTAAAATCTGGTCC